TTATAAGTGCAATTGGCCTTTTTAAAAACACCAAATAGTTTCTACTGCAGGCCTTATCAATTTCATGAAATATGGCTGTGTTGCATTCAGGTGTTCTGTCCTCTGTTCGACGTCACTTAAAATAGAGCGTGACCATGAGAAAGTCACCAACATTTTTGCCTCCACAAAGAATAAACAGCAGAATTTTCTCTACCATCATAAAATGTTATCATTGAGCAAAACATTATTCTCTTAAAAGAGCTCGGGTACATTTTATTTATTCTTTTTGGTTGTTTGTTTTATTCATTTTGGATATTTTAGTTATTTTTCTTATTCCAATGTTTGAATATTCTCAAGAATTAGCATCTATGAAATGCTTTATGATGCTACAACATCCTCATCTGTGATGTAGAATGGTCTTAAAACAAATTGATTTATCATGCAGGTGGAGAAGATTTGTCTTCGGTAATGTAGCTGAATGTTTTTTTGGTTGGTAGCCTGAAACAAAGTCTGTGGTTAACAAAAGCTGAGGAGATTTTAACATTGTGTTCTACGACATAAAATACGTCACTAAATACCCCACTGGAGAATTTAAAAACTGCGGTTGCTAACAAGTGTCTAAATGAGACGACTAAACGTCATCAGGCCCAACATTAGCCTCCTTTAGCTTAGCGTTGGTGACGTGAAGTCATGTGACCGTGCTGTAGTTCCTTTATAGCCTCCTAACGTTCGCTTTTTACTACCAAAATCACAAAGGTGATAATATGTGGAGATTATCCTGCAGAACAAAACGTGTGGGTATCATAAACATTTGTTGCATATTGTAGTTACTATGCTCCGGAAGTAAACAAAGGAGTCCAATGGAGACTGTGTGGGAGAGAAACTCCCTCTGAAGGGAACACAGGGAATGTAGCCTTTGCAGACCATTTACATGCACAAAGACATAACACACCACAGTACAAGGAAACACCCCAAACCCCACCCAGCAGAATAGGGCCTCTTTAAAGCTGTGGTTCATTAGCCCAGAGACAGAGAGAAGGAGCAAAAGGTAGTAATCCAACATGTAGAGGTAAATCTGTTTAACAATATTACCTCAGGGTGTTCTACTTGTTCTGAGCAGGGGTGTGTAGATAAGAGGGGAGAAAAAGGGAGGGGGAGAAAAAGGGAGGTGGAGAGTACAAGGGGGGAGAGGTGGGGGGTGATGCAGTGCTGACCACTCAAGACTCATCCATCCAGAAAGTGCTGCTCACTTCACTCTGCACAAAGTGTGGCGCCAGAACGACTTTGATTCAACACAACTCTTGATAAAACATAAACTAAGCAGAAAAATAATCAACAGGAGACGGCAGCCTCTCTTTACTTTGCACATTAGTTCCAAACAAAAGGCTCAGGTGATCCCGCCACAGGCGACGGATTCAATTATTCACAAGCTGTTATAGCTCCTGTTGTGTGTGCATGTTGTAGTGAGGCGGCAGACGGATGACTTGTTTAAACAGCTCCTTGAGAAAGTACGGGGATGTCTGCCACCGATCAATTCTAATCAATCTAATGTGGGGGCTGCCTACTGCAGGATTTTAATCAAATAAGGTAAAGGCTTTTGGACTTTGTAATACCCTCTGAGTTTACAGTGACTCTCAGAAATGTGTGCACAACTTATCCTATGTGCATACATTGCCTCCCTACTTCAACACATGCACAGGGATACTCAAACACTTCAAGCAAATATGTACCCACATATACAGTATGTGCACAAACAGGAATCCTCCCACAGCTCTACCTGCATTTAAACTGCATCCTGCTCTCCTCCCAGCGCCGTGAACGGCTGGTTTGGTGCTTGAGGCAGAATTTGCAAGACTTAAAAGGAAGTCATTTTATCTTTTTATATAAAACATAAACATTTGACGTTAGATTGCGGTATCTTTACATTTAGTTGAGATTGGATTTGAAGTGAATTGTAAATCACAAAACGCACATACTGATTTAATGCAACTGAGAAGTGAACATCTTTGATGTCCCACAATCTGCTGACAGGTCCTACAATATTCCAAACCCTGACGGCAGGGTGTCACTTGGCAGCGGAGACATCTTATAACAGTGTCCAGTGGCGACTGGTCATTAGGGGCAGGTGGGGCACAGCCCCACCTAGTGTCAGCAGAAAGTATTAAAATAATGATTACAACAAAATGCAAAAAATAAAATTAAAAAAAATATATATATATTTTAAGATCATGTTTAATCATCTGATTCGTCTGTACATTAATGTTTTAGTCTGTGTTCTTCTAATTAGTCTCTACAGTGTGTGCCTATTGAGCTGTTTGTTTAGAGCCATGTGGGACAAAACCCGATCATGCCCCTCCCTCTCACTGTCTAAGTGAACGGTGACTGTAAAAACTACACTGCGCATGCTCAGAGTATTTTCCTATTTAATGTGTGTGGCAACAAATAATGACCATAGGGGCATAGAGCTGCCATCCCCACCATACGTCATCTCACATAATTCAGAGCTGATTGGCTGTAAGTACGTGTGCCGCGAAAAGTGTGGTGTGTGAAGAGCAGGTGAAGAGGAGGAGAGAGACGCGTCCTAAAACCCGGAAGTAAGCTGCACATGGCTTCCCTCCACAAAAAAGCAATGAGATTTCTCCATAGGATTTTAGAAAATAGCTCAAAATAAGATCTGTGGGAAACGTAGCTGTTAGATAAATGCATGTTTTGTTCAGCCGGATAATATCCACATGTCTACCCTACTTTTATAATTTTCGAATCATAAATCCATCATTTAGATTTATGATAGACTTTTGAAACTACAAGAAGATAAGGAGGACTTTTACAAAAAAGTAAGAGTTTTTTTCCAGAAGGATAGGCAAATGGACTTCATCTTCAAGTCAAGGTAAGACCGCAATTTTATTGAAAATGGGATCTTACTAAGAGAGAACAATTAAATATTTAAATGATAAAATTACATTTTTTGGGTATCCTTCTGTTGAACTGTCTGTTTAAAATTAATTGAAGCATCAGACTAAAGAGGCTTTTGAAAATAATATTATATTTTGATTTAGGTCAAAATATAATATTTGTAAACCTGAAGAGTCAGTGCCAGTGCCTCACCAGCCATGAACCTCACTGCAGAAGCTTATATATAGACATCTAAGTTTTTTTGTGCCCCACCAATTTTGTACATATAGAAACGCCACTGACAGTGTCACTCAAACGTCAGTCTTTTGAGAAATGATCAAAGCTTCACGATACATCATCTTATTGGGTAATCCTGTCAATGCGATTAAATAATGTGCAATTTCCCAAATAATTGCCCAACTAAACAAAAAAAATTGTCCTTTTCTTAGAAGAACACTCCAGGGTATTGTATTTTAGAGTCTTTGCAGAATAACATCCATCCATTTTCCATTCAGAAAGAGCTATTAATATCTTCCTCTTCACTTTCCAATGCATGTAGCTGCAGCATCTATGGTCAGGGGGGAGCGAGGCGAGCTGTGTGAAAACCTAAGAGCACTTTTCCATCGCAAGCTGCAGCGGAGAAGTCTTATGACACTCAACTGACAAGCAAAATGATAAAAAAGTGTGAGTCTTTTGAGAAATCATCAAAGCCTTTCAGCTTTTTGGGTCATGCAGCAATGACATGTTGTCAAATATGCCTTTTTCTGACATTGTACATGCATTATATTTCCCATATGAATGCCCAACTACCCAAATAATAGTCCTTTTTGAAGAGAGTGCCTGCAGAATAATGTCTACCCATTTTCCATCCAGAAAGAGCTATTAATACCTTCTTCCTCACTTCTGAATGCATGAAGCTGAAACGTCTGTTGTCATAGGGGAGCAAGCTGTGGAAAAACCTAAGAGCACTTTTCCATCGCAAACAGCAGCGAAGAAGTCTTATGATACTCAACTGACAATATTAAGAAAAGTCAGTCTTTTAAGAAATCATCAAAGCTTCAAAAGATATTATCAGCTCTTTGGGTAGTCCTGTCAATGTTGCAACATCATGACATTTATGCACAATATTTCCCAAATTAATGTCCAACTGCACAACAAAAAATTGCCTTTTTTTAGACGAATGCTCCAGGATATTGGATTTTAGAGTTCCTGCAGAATATAATCTCCATTAGAAAGAGCTATTTATAACTTCCTCCTCACTTTTGAATGCATGGAGCTGCAACATCTATGGGGAGCGATCTGTGGAAAAACGCACTTTTCCGGAGAAGTCTTACAACACGTCTTTTGAGAAATGATCAAAGCTTCATAAGACACTGGCAGCATTGCAAAAGCATCATGAGATATTTACACAATTTTCCATAAAAAAAGCCCAACTACACAAAAAATAGTCCCTTTTTTTTTAGGATACTCCAGGTTTTTTGACTTTCTATCCATTAGAAAGAGCTAATAATACCTTCCTCCTCACTTTGAATGCATGAAGCTCCAACATCTATGGTCAGAGGGGAGTGTGCTGTGGAAAAACCCAAGAGCACTTTTCCATAACCCCCCCTGTGGTCTCAGATCTCTCAATCCCCGGGACTGCTGGATTATTTATACTGAGAGATAAACCCTATACAGTGTGCATGGTGTGCGTAACCACCATCAGCCACAAACGATGAGACTGGTTTCCAAAGGAATAAAGTAAAAACTGTTCACTTCTGTCACAAAAAGAGGCTAAACATGACATTTTCGTCACGTTTTCTTGTCAGAAAGCGAGTTATCAAATTATGCCTGCACGTAAAGAAGGTCTAAAGCGATGTAGTGAAAGATAAATATCGCTTTGTGTCGTAAATCCACTACAGTGGCGCTCCTGGGGGATGCGCCCTACACTTTGACAGAGCAGCTGTGAAGCATCTGACACTGACATGAATTATACCCGCGCTGCAAATATAAATATCGGATCAGAATTCTCATCAGGAGTCCGTGGACAGCAGGCTGGCTGATACATCTCTCGTTATCCACGTTTTTTTGTATCGCTGGCATCGTGCGTAAAATGGGTTTCTTTGTTCTAAAACGTAAAACAGTCCTACCTCGCTCATGATGCACGGTGATGAGGGTTTTCTCGGCGGCTTCCAGTAAGAAGGAGAAGTTTCTGCAACAGTGGTGTTTTAAAAGAGTAGCTCGCCGCGGACAGAGCAGCTTTATAAAGTGTTAAACCCAACTCCTCCGTGTCATCACGTCACCAATAAACCAATCAGAACGCCGTGGGCAAATGTGTCTCCCAAGTCCCCTCCCATCCAAACTCCCTCCAATATTCATATGCTGTGTAAGCCCTTTTCATCAGGAGCTTCTCTTTTCTGCTGCTGACAATGTGAGCTTTGGGAGGCATTTCATGCACAACGAAATACAAATATATAAAATACATTATTATTTCACTGAATTGTGACTCCCAAGAGTGTGTGCGCTATTTGTGAAGCTCTAAAGTGAGATGCCTTTTTATCTGCCTTTTCGTTGTTTTGCCTGTGGTGCATCTTTAATGTGAATATAATGTCTCTTCATTACATTTTATGGTTAATTTGTTCATGAAATGTGTGATGATTTCTGCCGGGCACTGCTCACATTTTATTGGAGGATTACAAATATCTAGAACTAAATGTTTCACCCTGGTTTAATTAGCTTAAAGATATTCCAATGTTCAAATGTATGGCATCAGAGAGGCCAAGTCGTGCATTTTGAGTCTATTGAATTTGTAAGTTAACGCTTCAGATTTGACTGTTTCATAATTTTGAGTGTTTTGTCCGGTATATTTGAAATGACTAGGTAAGCCACGTTAGCTAGCTACTTAACAGCAGATCTGCAATAATATTGGAAGGAATCATGTGATCACATTGTTAAAATAAGCCGATAAAACATTTAAGTAAGTCTCCAACAACAGTGACAGTCGTCCAACTTTAGAATCCCCGAAAGTCAACTAGCGCTCTGGTCCCAGATGTGTGCATCACTTTTTAGTGTCCCCTGGTCCGTTATATTTTGAGCTTCTTCCAGCGTTTTTGAAGGTGCAGCGTTTTTCCTGTGTCAGCCAATAGTGCCTATTTCCAGCACTCTTGTATAATGCTTCTGCAAAAATGTTACTGCATCCAGCTCTATTAATTTCCTCCTTTCATCGCCCTTCAACAGCAATTTCACAGATTTAGCTATCTAATTATCCTAAATCCATACATCCATTTGTAGAAAGTGGTCAAATTGAGCGTTTGAATAGCAAGCATCCACTTCAATCCTAACCTCTCTCTGCACAAGTGCACATAGACATGGAAATGGTTTCAATCAAAGAGAAACAGTGGCGATATTCACGGATGCAACCTGAAGGATGCTCAGCTTCCTTATGGAACGTCACTGGAGTCCCAATGGAGTCCTGATGGATGAGGAGAGGAAAGCCATTACAAATGAATCCTCACATCTCTGCCGCTCGGACCTGACCTGAGTGTCTCTGGGTGGCTGTCAAACTGCCTGACGAGCACGAGTGGATCTCACTGAAAAATGGCTCTGGGCTTCCTGTTCTGCAAAAAAAAAAAGGCCTCTCCTCATCTTCCTAGCTGGAAGTAAGGCAATAACAGAACAGGTGATGGTGCCTGCAGCCAGTTATAGCTTAGCGAATGCTGTCCTTCAAAGGACCGGTGGCCAAATAATGCCATTTTAAGGTTAACAGCATTTATCGATGCATGCACTCAAAGGCACATTTATTTGTCTGTTTGTCTATTTAATTACTTGTTGACTTATTTACCTATGTATTTATTGACTTATTTGTTTGTTTGTTTCTTTATTCACTTATTTGTTGAGCTATTTAGTTATTATATTGATTTTTTTAATCAATATAATATATACATACATAGATATATATCTATAGTCTTTTACTGAGCCAACACCAAGGAAGGCCCATACGCTAACATTGTTTATTTATTTTCTTATAAACAATGTATATACTTATTTATGTAGGTTGTTGCAAACAAAGAAACTGCAGACAATAGTGGTGTTAATTTAAATTAAAACAATTTCAAAACAAGCATCTATGCATATACAATATGCCAAAGCATCATTGCAAGACAAATGGACAGCAAAGCAATCTTCTTTAGTGGAAAGGTAATTGGTTGGACCTCAGAAACCTCAAAGTGTGTTGCTTTATGTCAGGAATACCATTACTTGTAGGGAGATTGCTCTTCCAGCTAATATTGAGTTTGTTTGTGTTGGTGTGGAAATCACACTGAGGAAATGTCCCTCACCATGATTTGCCTATATCGACAACTCACCGCTAAGGTGGATTTCTATGATCAGGTCAAACTCATGCTGAATCCCTGTGACTCCAACAAAGAGCTAATTATTGTAGGAGACTTTAACATAAACTGGAATGAAAAACAAAATAGAAAGAACTTAAAACGGATCACGGATAAACACAACTTAATACAACTAATGGATCAACCGACTAGAATAACTAAAACCTCTAAGACTATGATAGATTTAGTATTTACTAACAAAGCTGACAGAGTAGTTAAAACCTACAACTTCCTGACTGGTGTTTCTGACCATAATCCTTTTAGCAGGAAACTCACAAAAAAAGGTTCATGGCCACACCTAAAACTCCTGCCTTGGGTTCTCGCTTCATCCCCAAAAATCTGCAACAGCGTTTTATGGATGCAGTGAAAATGACTGATTGGGGGGACAATCTCTCCTCTGAAGACATTGGTGAAAACAGTCATCTGTTTATATCTCAAATTAATGATACAATGTCTTCCTTCTCAAGGAGAGGGTGCCTTAGGGACAGGAAGGAACATCATCTTCCCTGGCTGAATCTACAGTGCAGGAATCTCATGAAATCTAGAGACCAACTATTAAAGCAGAGCTTGAAATCCGGACTATGACAGAAATTCACTCATGCTCATAACAAAGTAACAAGACAGGCCAAAGCAAACTTCTTCATCAATATAATTGAAGGTGCGAAAGGTAACGGTAAAAACGTTTGGCAAATCTTAAATAAACTATTAAACATACCAAACAGCCCGACTGTGGATACACACCCCGTTTTTGACCTGGAGGAAATCACAGAGGTTGAGGTAAAACATATAATCTCAGGGTTAAGAGGTTCTAAGGCGAGGGATGTATATGATTTAGTCACCAACGTTATAAAAACACATATCGACAGTCTAATAAAACCAATTACTATGCTAGTGAATCAATCCATCAGCACGAGGGAAGTTCCATCATCCTGGAAGGTGGCCACGGTGACACCGATTTTTAAATCTGGGGATAAGGCAATGATGTCCAATTACAGACCAATCAGCATCCTCCCCTGTGTCTCTAGCTGAGAAATGGGTGTCAAAACTAATCACCAAACATTTAGACAAAGGTTTCGCTCCACTCCACCTAATGCAGTTTGGTTTCCGTGCTCACCACTCCACTGAGACAGCCAACTGTGTCTTTGTGGAAAAGGTTAAATGTATGTTGGACACGAGCCCATATGTAGGTGCTGTCTTCCTTGATCTCAGGAAGGCTTTTGACACTGTTGACCACCAAGTGCTTCTTACAAAGCTGACGTATTTCAATTTTTCAGTAGCAGTTTCTATACATTGGTTTAAGTCTTACTTATCGAACAGAAAACAGTGTGTTTTGTTCAACGGTGCCAAATCCCCCTACCTTGTCAACCCTGTTGGGGTTCCACAAGGTTCCATTCTTGGACCATTACTGTCAAGTCCTTCAGGTTTTTGGCCTGTACCAGTGATTTAGCCTGACTTGATAGGCTAGAGGGCAACAGAGGACGCTTTGGACAACTCAAATTCGTTCTTTTTGTCTTTATTTATTCAAGACAGCTCCAAGAATTGATCAGGTTGAAAACCTTCAAAACACAAAGGACAAACAAAAGTTAGCTCACATGCTACACAAATGACAAACATTTTGCAGGTCTCACTGCATTGTCAATAATAATAATACCACAAACTATGTTTTAATTAAAAAGGATAAATTGTTACTTTAAAACCACATCATTAACTTCAATGAATTAATAAGAGTGTTTATCTCCACATGGAAACAAGCACCAGAGAAAACCTCATCTGAACACCTGCGCTGTCTAAATTACACAGAAAACAAACGGAGCACAGGCAGATCGCGCTGCGTAAAAAACCCAGTTGATTGCGTAACAGCACTCTCGTAAAGTGCGGCAACAGATCAAGTACATAAACACAATACACATACCAACGGCGTCTGCGGAGCCTCACACACACACTGTCGCCTGGTTCTCTCTCCGTGGCTTTGAGAACAAGAGACCGGCCATCACAAACTACACCCCTTTTGTAGCCGTGTTGCCGGAAGCGGCATTCATATTTTTTCTACAGCTCGCTTATGAAAAGTAGCCTACGCTATCCAAAATAAAACAAATACCCTCTACTGGTATTGAATAATACTATAATAATAATAATGCTCTAAATTAAAACACATAATTATTTATTAGTCCGTTTTTCACAGATATTATTAAATGATGACTTTCGTCTCGACAATTACTGTTTTCTCTGTACATTAATGACTTGCCTAATGTATGTCCTGAGTTGAATGTGCAAATGTATGCCGATGATGCGGTCATCTTTGTACACGGGAAGAACACTGAAATGATCTCATCTTGTCTCTCAAATGCTGTTTTTAACATTATTCAGGCTCAGCTCTTTGAGCTTAAGCTTCTTTTAAATGTGGATAAAACCAAGGTAATGCACTTTTCGAAAGCTAAAGCTAAAAATACACCAGAGACTGCTTTGGATATTGTAACTACGCAAGGAATACAACTTGAAGTGGTTACCTGCTACAAATACTTGGGTATCTGGCTTGATGACTGTCTCACTTTTAAACTTCATGTCAATAACCTGCTTAAAAAGCTGAGGGTTAGACTAGGTTTCTTCAGGAACAAGTCCTGTTTCTCGCTTGAGGCCAGGAAAAGGCTAGTCACTGTGACCTTTTTACCTGTGCTGGATTATGGTGATTTGTTATATATGAATGCACCTGCCAATTACCTGAGCAAGTTAGATGCTGCGTATCACAGTGCACTGAGATTTTTGACAAATTGTAAAGCACTTACGCATCACTGTACCCTGTATACCAAGGCGGTTATGCCATCACTTACTGTACGGAGGCTCAGTCACTGGTACTTTTTCATTTACAAAGCC